AGATCAAGGCACACAACAACACCATGCTCTTTTTAAAAGGAAGAACTACAATGATGTTTATCTGTGCTTTATTGACTATACAAAGTCTTTCAATTGTGTGGATCATGACAAGCTATGGACAACATTGGGGAGAAAGAGTATTCTAGAATATTGAATTGTGCTCAGGAGGAATGACCCATATTAACTTGGGTGTTGTGAAAGGCAATAGGAGTCTACAAGTACAAAAAAGCAAAGAAACTTACTGAGAAGGACACAAAGTTACAAGAAAAGATTTTTACACATATTAACTTATTTATATCTCACAATGACTGCGTAAAATTGCTACTATCATGATCATCCCCATTTTACATGATCACCTCCATTTTACATATTAAACAGCCAAGGCTGAGACGATGAAGAAAATCACAAGTGATTCTGGCCATGCAGCTCAACAGAACCAGAAAACAAGCCCAAACTCTGTGACCCAAAATTCTTGGCTTACAACAACTTTAATGCCCATTTCAGCATGGAATAAGAAAATCCATGTTAAGAAATTTGGAGAAGATAATAAAGGATGAGAAGAGAGAGTCCTCAACTGCTAAGCATCAAGACCTCAGGACCAGAAGTAGTGGAAAGATTACCAACAGATCAGGCAGATTAAAGTGTGAAAAAAACCACAGTGTCAACAAGGATTCAGGGACAGGATACAGATGGAAGGAATGAACAGGTGGAGAACAAGAGATTTTTAGAGCAATGAAACTATTCTATATGATACTGTAATGGTGGACACATTACATTGTGCATTTGTTGAAAGCCATAAAACTGTACAACACACAGAGTGAGCCCTAATGTAAACTCTCAACTTAATTTTATTAATTAATAGTAACATCAATTTTTACTCATCAAATACAATTTCACCAAACCAATGTAAGAAATAGTTTGATCTATGGACAAATTTGTAGATGTATGAATGAGGTTTTTGACAGTTTGGTGGCTACTATTCTGCCCATTGTAACTTCCAAAGCTTCCAAGATTTCCTGGGTCACAAATGCAAAATGTCATAAGTACAGAGAGACTGAAAATAGTTAAAAAGCTATCGAAAAGGATTAATTTTGAATCCAGTTAACAATTGGTATGAAATTCATAATATCAAGTAAAGCCTTTATTTTGTAATCTACTTTTAAAAAAATAAATAAAAGAGTACATTGACAGAACTGTCAGATGTTTGAGCCAGATTCTGACAAGGATATGGAACGAGGAATATAATTGCTGGTGTCACATGCATCTTGCCTAAAAGCAGAGAATACCAGAATGATGCTTACCTGTGTTTTTTTGACTATACAATGGGTTTCAGTTGTATGGATAATGACAAACTATGGACATCATTACAGAGAATGATTATTCCAAAATATATAATTGTGTTCATGAGGAATGACACATCTTAACTTGGGTGTTAGGAAAGACAGTAAGGAGGCCACAGCACAAAAAAGCAAAGGGACATACTGGGAAGGACGAAAAGTTAATAGAAACAAAAGAGTACTTACATCAAAAATGTCCAACAGCAGTAGTGGCAATCATCCACAAGTGGAGTTCCTCTTGTCTGT